TCAGATTTCCTGCGGTACTTGAATGGGTCGTAGTGGAGATTAATCCCTTTCTCAGTGCGAAGCTCAAACGATCTCTTGGGGAAAGTGGATCCAAACCTCCTGTTTGAACCCCAGCTCAGTTTGTGGCTCTGTTGATCCTTCCAGGGAGAGAAGGTCCGAAAAATCCAGTTAGCAGGTTGACTTCCTGCCGAGAGGCAAAAGACAAACAATTTTAAAACTCGGGTTGACAAAAACTCAGTTTGACTCAGCGAAACTCAGCTTGGCTAGAGTACCCAAAACTGGCAAACACTCTGGCGTCGAGGTAGTGGCAGTCAACAGCTTAAGAACACCAGGCGCCTCCTGGTGGCGGAAGGGAGACAAACACAGAAAACACAAACAGACAGACAGGAGCCCTGATAGAGATTTACTTCAGTAAATTAATATAGAAAATCTTTTACACGTAGTTATGTTCTTTTTATTTTAACTTGAGCAAAATTATGATGAAGTATTAATAATTATGATTCATTTTCATCAATGAAGTTCTTTTTTCATTATAGTTTTTGTCATTTTGTAAGTTTTAGTTAACGATAATAACCTTGTCTATAGGGGCTTATTATAATGATAACTGTTAGAAATGATCATCCAATTCCACTTACATTAGTCTCCTCCGTTCTTCATCTCCTTCTTCACGAACCTTTAAAGAAAGTTTTCATCTCCAAGCTTGGCAGAACAACAATGTCTATTCCACCATGTTTTCGTCTCCTTTGTCTGTTGGACAGAGGAAATTGAAAACAGGTTAATAACATCCACCTCATTTTGGGAAATTCCTTGCCTATTTTGCATCCCCAAATAGAAGTGCAAATAACTTAGGAACTGTAGGCCCACATTACATGTGTGCTACATTATTTGAAAGCTAACACTTTCTACTTTCTGAATATATACATGAAAATTGGATGAGTAAAACACAACCCAAGCTGCATCAGTTCAAACATGACACAAAGTTGTTTTTTAATTTTTTTAGTATTTCTGTTTACATTTTGACATGCTGCTATATCTGAGTTAATTGTGCTTTGGTGCTCGCTGTGTCCATAAATGACCTAGATGGTTAAATTGTGGAGAATCTAAGTTTTCCAACAATGTCTAACATGTCTATGTTGGTAGACATTTTACCGGTGTAATTTTCATGCATTCTGAGTTATTACCTTTAAACGCTTTAAGCTGGATGGTTTTGAGAGGCTAAATCTGAAGACGTCGCCTCTGTTGTCTGTTCTTTTTTGCCACTTTAAACTTTATTTCCCTTCAGGCTCTGTTTGAACATAACTTTTTTTTGGGGAGGTCGTTCTTTGATGTTGCCAGCATGCACTGCTCCACTGTTCCCATGCACCCATGCACAAAAAAAAAGAAAATAAATGTGAGCATTTGCACATAAATGATGTATTAAGACTCTTTTTCACACACACTCAGACACACCTACACACACTCATCTGCACTCATGCAGCAGATGGCCTTTGGCTTGCTGGGATGTTCTGCTTTGTCACTTCAAAGCGATGTGAAGTATTTTCATGTAGATGCGATCGCGCCCTCTCAGCCTCCGTGTCTATATTCATGCTGCTACTAAAGCTGCTTGTTTGTTTGTTTGCACTGCCTCTCTGTTATGCTAATACTGCAGCGATTGTTAGTGCAGAAAAATGACATTTGTTTTGCACCTGAGTTGGAATAATGTGTGTATTTTTTTTTTTTCGCACTCTGTTGCTTCATTTGACAGTTACTGCTGTTTTTGACCCACAGAGCAGGAAACATCACAGCGCCGCCTTTCATCTTTGCTGTTTTTTTTAAACTAAACATGTCTGCTGTTATTTATACTCACCGGCATTTATGGTGGATGATTTGGCCAGGAAACAACCACAGCAAACTATTGCTTGGAAAGAAGCAGAAAGTCGATATAATATCATTTTGCACATTTTTTATTAACTGAATGCTGCCAACTTGAGGTAGAGATCCTGGGTGTTTTTTTTTTCTTTTTCTCTTTGCTGAAATGTTTTTAATTTTCATTCCTCCAGATGAGTTCATGAACTGACAAAAGAGCAATGCAGCCTGGCTTGAGAAACAATATTATTTTTTTTTTTAAGTAACTTTTCACTGAAGAAAATGGAAAATAATAAGGAAAAACAAACTTAGCTAATGTATCTGGGATACTTCTCTTGGTAGGACAGTTCCACCAGTTACCTCAGGAGTTATTTTTGCCAGGTTTAGACTTTAAGTTGGAAATAGTCAGACGAAGCGAGAAAAATAGCGAACTGGAAGTGTATTGAATAAGACTGAAAAACAGCAGGAAGCATGAAGGGATAAAAAAATGAAGCGAAGCGGTGAGGCCTGGATGATTGCAACATAAGGATCCTTCAGAGACTTTGACTATTGCTGTTGCTAGTCTACCTGGAGTCTGTACAAGTATTCCAAGAAGAAAAGAACATTAAACCAACAACATAAACTTCATGGGAATTTAAAATAATAATAGAAACACCGAAACAGGAATAAAACAATAAAATGAAATGAACTTTAAAAAGTGGCACCTACTTTAGTCCAGAAAAATTTTCCTGTACTAACCTAACTTGAAATTAATTGAGTTCACTATAAGTATATATTTTATTACATATTCTACACATTTATATTAGTCCCTATAATCCCATTAATTCCTATTTAATACTTTGGACATCGCCAATTAATCTCTTTAAAAAAATAAAATTAATTATATATACTAATACATACTTAAACTAATAATTTATCTAAAATAAGTAATTTATAAATAATAATAATTAAATACTGACAAAAGCATCATGGGACATTTCAGTCAATCTAAAGAATTCATACCCTTTGTGGTTTAATGTGATAAAGGTCTTTATTTTGACTGGATTACGCCTGTGGTCCATGTTCACTTCATGGTCACTGTTATTAGAGCACTTTAAAAACTTCACATTTAACTGTCCTGTCATATAAAAGAAATGATTAAAAATGTATATATCAGAATTTAAATCTGTTTGAGTTGTTCATTGCTAAGAACCGTAAAGGTTAAAAATAAGTTGACATATTGTCAGGGTGGAAATCCTTTTGTTCTAAAGAAAAATGGAATAGATGGAATACTTGTTCGGTGGCAAAAAAAAATACTTTTTTCAATTGGTGCGGGGGGATAATAATTAACACAGTCAGATAAACACAAATCAAATGAACATTTTGCCAAATAAAACAAACGCCATTAGCCTCGGAGGTCCACTAGTTGCCGCGGTCCTCTTAACTTTGGAATTTTTTTTTTATTACGCATTAAATCGGTAAATGGACTATATCGTAACACTTTAAAGTATAATATTCTTGCCTTAAAATGATCTTAAAACATATTGAACATCAGCAACACAAAAGAGAACTTTTAACTTTATACTCTGAGCTCTGTGAGCGCTCCATTGAAAGCTGCTGCTGCTGCAGTGCATGCTGGGAAAGCTGTCAATCTCAAGAACAGGACAAGTCTGCTCTGATGCATGCTGGGTAAATAGGGAGGGAAGAGAACAACATCCGGGGACTTTGTCTGTTCTCGGTCTGCTTGTGAATTGGAACAGTACTAGGGCTGAGACCGATGTCTCACGAGTACAAAGCACATGAGATCGCACAAGTACACATATTGAGAAATGGTCAAAATTTTTGCCAGTAAAGTTCTTAGACCAAAACAAAAAAAGCTCTGCTACCAAGCTAACGCAATACTAATGCTAAGCGTTAACCACCAAAATGGGAGAACATGTTCAATGACACAAAGGTGTTTGTGTAATATGTTCATAAAATAGCACACAACTTGTGGACTATATAAAACTAACTGACAATTACTGACAACTAACTTTTTATCTGCACTAGCTAAAAACAAGCCATGCCTCATACCGCAAAGAAATATACAAAACTTTCGCAATGGACTGGATATATATGAGAGGGCCCTAAGACTGCAGATGGGTCAAAACAGCAACCAGCTGCTTCAAGTGCGACATAATCCTAAAGGCTGATTTATACTTCGAAACTTGGTCGTCTGCGTAGGCGTAGTGGTGGACGCAGAGACGTCCCCTCCCCCTCCGTAGACACTCTGCTGCACCTCTCCCAAATTGTAGTTGACCGCAGACAGTGGAGGCCTCTGATTGGTCAAATCTACATCCGCTCTACTTCATGAGTATTTCCTGTTTGGTACCTTACCGGCTTGTTTTGTTTGTATGACCGCCATTGCGTAAAACGACTCTTGAAGTTGGACTAGCTACTGTAGAAGAGCGAGGTGCGCGAGAATGCTGGGATCCTTTTTCCACCTGGATCCCCGCTCTTTTTCGCCTCCGTTGTCGGACAAACACGCCCCCACTTCCTCGCCGCCTCGGCTGTTTCTAGACCCACAGTTAGTTTCTGATTGTCCCTCTTGCATTGTGGTGTGGAATAACATAGCGCAGACCACACTTCAATATTGAGCATAAATCAAAAATATCTCCATCATACCTGCGACTAGCCTACTGAGACACACTGCTACAGGAGTATAACCAGCCCACTGATTTATTGTTGATGACTCAGACGCAAGCTTTGAGTCTGACATGTCAGAAATCTATCTTAAGAAAGATTTTGATGTAAATTAACTGCCTGAACAAGATGTTCCAAGTTGCAGGAATTAAGTCAGCATGACAGAGAAGGAATGAGGCTTCAATATGAGTGGAGGGTCTAGAATCTAGATATATGACTCCTCCTACTTTTAAGTTACCAGTCATTGTGATTTATGGGCTGGGATCTGAGTCGCTTTGTTTTCTCACAGTAAAAAACGCATTATTTGTTTTTGACCCTCATTGTGTGCGGGATTGTGAAAGAACATTTTTCATCTTGCTATACCAGTGCATTCATGCAGCACTTTTTCTCATTATTTGTCAAAACTGTTCTCAAGAACAATGTTAGGGAATGTCAAAAAAAAAGTCCTTTGACACCAATTGGTGCATAGTTACTGACATTTAATGTGTGTCCAGGCATCATCAAGCTTCGGCGGAGTCCACCGCCACGGCTCAGAGGCCCGCAGTACGTCCTCAACATCACCGCTACAGATGACAATGCTTCGGGTGGTCCCAATCCACTCAGCAGCGCCGCTCAGGTCATCGTAGGGATCAATGACATCAACAACAACAAGCCCGTGTTTGATGAGGTAGCATGTTTTACACCATTTTATAGATATAAACACACAGCGTTAGTTTTCATCTTCCTGACTGGGACGTTTTTGCTCTCAGTGTCAGAACTACAATGCAGCAGTTCTTGAGAACCAGCCGCCGGGGACGTTCGTGCTGCAAGTGGAGGCCCACGACGCCGACATGGGGGTTAATGGAGAGGTCAAATACGGCATCATGCACAGAGACGGTGTATCGTCTGGGTTTGATATCGACCCTGACACCGGTAAGCTAAACGTTTCTTATTGTTACCAACAATAAAATGTTTGATATATCTGATGGATTTGTGGATGTTGTGTTTTTATTTTAGGCGTGATAACCACGGCTGTGAGTTTCGACAGGGAGCGTCAGAGAGAATTCACGCTTTCTGTGACGGCCACCGATCAGGCCGAGGAGCCACTGATCGGGATCTGTCAGATCACGGTGCTGATCTTAGATCAGAACGACAACGACCCCAAATTTGAAAACAGCCGTTACCAATGTAAGTACTGCTGCATATGCTGGTGAAGATTCTCAGTCATCATCCAGGTCATAGTCATTCCAAAACAGTTAAAAAAAAACAATCCACTGGACTTGGTTTCCAACTTTGAAGATGTTTCGCTTCTCATCCAGGAAGCTTTTTACATTTTTCAATTAAAAATTTCATTCTGCTCCTGAAATTAGTGTCTCTAAACAGTGAGTCCCTAGTCCCCTAACAGCCTGATCCTGAACGTGGAGAAGACGAAGGAGATCTTCTTGGACTTCAGGAAAAAATGTCCTAACCACGCTCCACTGCTCATCAACAGCTCAGCTGTAGAGGTGCTCAACAGCACCAAATTCCTGCGGGTGCACATCACAGACACCCTTACCTGGAATGTAAACACCACCTTACTGATCAAAAGGGTACAGACGTGCATGTACTTTATGTGGAGGATGAGGAGAGCCCGCCTACCCCCACCCATCCTCACCACCTTCTATAGAAACACCATAGAGAGCGTTCTGACCAGCTGTCTCACTGTGTGGTGTGGAGGCTGCAGCGCCTCAGACTGGAAGAAGGTGAGAAGAGTAATGAGAACCAGAGATGGGAAGTAACGAAGTACAAATACTTCGTTACTGTTCTCAAGTAGATTTTTCTGATATTTTTACTTTACTTTACTATTTATTTTTATGGCGACTTTTTACTTCTAGTCCTTACATTTTTACACAAATATCTGTACTTTCTACTCCTTACATTTAAAAAAATTGGCTCGTTACTTTAGTTTTGAATCATTTCAATGGAGTTACCGTTATTATTTTTCACGTCATCAATACCAAATTCAATCTAATTGGATGGGAATCTACGTTGCATTTGACGCACCACTACAAGATGAATCGACAGATTCGGCGGTATTCATTGGCGGCAAATCATTGCAGCTTGGTGGCGGTGGCGTTAGCATAGTAGCATGGACGACGAGATGATTGAAAATGAACACAACGGAGATCTAGTCCTATTGGCAGACATCCATTTAAAATGTAGGCAACGGCATGAAAAAAGTGGTTTCTACTTTTACTTTTATACTTTAAGTAAATTTACAAGCTTTTACTTTGTTACTTTTACTTGAGTAAAGAAGTTTAATCAGTATTTCCACTTTTACCAGAGTATTTTTTAACACAAGTATCTGTATTTCTACTCAAGTACGGAAAGTGAGTACTTTTGCCATCTCTGGTGAGAACAGCAGAGAAGATCATCAGGGCTCCTCTTCCCTCCATTAAAGACATTTCATCCCAGCGCTGTGTGTCCCGAGCCCGTAGCATCATCAATGACCCCTCACGCCCCCACCAGGGACTCCCTCCGACCCTCCGGGAAGAGACTTTGACGCATCCGATGCAAATCCAGCAGATTCCATAACAGTTTCTTCCCCACTACCATTAGACTGCTGAATGTTATGTAAAATGGGTTATAAAAAGAAAAAGAAAAAACGGAATGTAACTCTACATTCATATGTTTACATTACTGTTTTTCATCACAATGTTTTTTATCACTTCACTGCAAAAACGTTCTGAAAATTAGTAAAAATGTCTTTAAACAAGTGTATTTACCTTAAATTTGAGTAGGAAAATAAGATGATCTGCCAATGGAATGAGCATTTTTACCCTTAAAATAAGATAAATTAGATATTATGCGCTTGAAGTAAGAGACTATAGTCTTTTTTTCTTATTTTAAATCTAAATTGTCTTATTCCATTGGCAAAGAGTCTTACTTACCTGCAGTGTTCTGCTTACTAAAAAATGTATTGTCTAGGGAGCTGCTCTTAATGAAATTTCTTTTTGTTTACACTTGTGTGTACAAAATGACAAAATAAAAGTCTCATTTGAGAATGTTCACATATTGGACAAAGAAGACAGATGCTTTGAAAGGGGAAGGAAGCCATTTATGTTAAGAGAGTAAAACCAACCTTAAACAGAGGGGGTGGACTCAGGTTTTAGCTTTCAAAAACCTACAATGCAGCAATAGAGTTGATTCCTTCCCACAATCACTTCAACCCCCCACCCCCATGCAGGGGATAAAACAACTATCCTGGGCAGCCAAGCCAACGATTGCCCCTAACGACCCCCCTTACAGAGGCATAGACCAGTATCGGGTACTGTACTGCAAAAAATTGAAATCTAAGTAAGTTTATTTTTCTTTAAAAAATAGCATTTCTTTCTTGAATTGCGCAGTTAAGTGATACACTTTGCCAATGGAATAAGGCAATTTACATCTAAAATAAGAAAAAACAATTGCGTTGTCTTATTCCAAGTGGATATTATCTAATTATCTTATTTTAAGAGTAAAAATACTCATTCTATTGGCAAATCTTATTATTTACTTGCTTGAATTATGCTAAATACACTAATTTTAAGACATTTTTACTCGTTTCCAGATCGTTTTTGCAGTGTGCAGGCTAACAAAGAACCCCAAACGCCTCCCCATTCCTAAAGGGTTGGACCTGTTCTGGTTCAATTTGCATGTTTTGCATGTTTTCTAAGCCAAAACAAGTTTTTGGGCTACCATATAAAGCTTTGAACTCAACTCTAATTCTGACATTTTGAAAAAGCTTCCTGGATGGGAGGCGAAACGTCTTCAAACTTGGAAACCAAGTCCAGTGGATTGTTTTTTTTTTTTTTTTTTACATTTTTGGAAATTCTGCTTCACATCCTCTGCACTGGTGGAAGAAGCTATCAGCAGTAGGACAGGTGTTGGGTTTTGTCCTTTTCAAGCTTTACACAAAGCTTAATCTCTTCCAGAATAAGCTAAGTTTATGGGAAACAGGTGAAGCTGAGTGTTTGTTGTCATTGATGTCTACTAATCTGCATCTTTGTAATCCTGGAGAGCTCTTAACACTGATGAAATATTCTCAGCAAGCCCCCATGGATCTGTGTTTGTTTACTATCCGTGCAAATATGTGTTTTGATAACCGTCTTGTCTGAAGTTCCCTGCGTCCGACTGCAGAAGCGCACAGAGTGGCTCATTAACTATTTAAGAGGCAGATTTAAATGTTTCTGGGACATGAATTTATTTACTGCTGCTTAGGGTGTATTTGCGTGCTGTTTTCTTACGGGCTCTCCTAGCAGAAAGCACTTTTATTCAGTAGGCTTAATATTCATCATGTGGTCTTTATGTCTGTATGGTCTTTGTGTGCTTTTTGCCTACTTTCTATGAGCTGTAAAGTTTTCACCGCTTCCCTTTTTCTGCAGAGAAGTCTGTTTACGGGAAGCAAACAGTGTCGTCTGGCAACGCAAACAACTTTCAGAGGAAGAAAGCTGTTTTAAATTTACTGTGGATGTAAAGAATGAATAGATTTGCTTAAGGTTTTGGAGTTTTGCCACCAATATTAACAATGAACACTGCAAAAAATGGAAATCTAAATGAGTAATTTTTGCTTGAATTAAGTGAATTTTTCTTAAAATGAGGAGGTAAGAGGAATACTTTGCCAATGGAACTTGACAATTTACAATTACACTGCAAAAAAATGAAATCTAAATGAGTAATTTCTTCTTAAAATAAGTGCATTTTTTCTTGAATTAAGGATTTAAGTGAGACACTTTGCCAATGGAACAAGACAATTTACACTTAAAATAAGAAAAAACAATTGCATTGTCTTATTTCAAGTGCATATTATCTAATTATCTTATTTTAAGAGTAAAAATACTCATTCCATTGGCAAATCATCTTATTTAACTGCTCAAATTAAGGGTAAATACACTCAATTTAAGACATTTTTACTCATTTTGAGATCATTTTTGCAGTGTAAAATAAGAAAAAAAAATTGCTTTGTCTTATTTCAAGTGCATATTAACTAATGATCTCATTTTAGGTGTAAAAATACTCATTCCATTTGAAAATCATCTTATTTATCTGCTTAAATTAAGGGTAAATACCCTTGATTTAAGAATTTTTTTACTTATTTCTAGATGGTTTTTGCAGTGAAGGAGTCTGTACCAAATTTATCAAGTCAGAATTTTGCCAAACATGCACACACTGGAAAAATCAAAATCTAGATAAGTATTTTTTTCTTAAAATAAGTGCATTTGTTCTTGGATTGAGGTGGTAAAAGTAACATTTTGCCAATGGACCAAGACAACACTGCAAAAAATGGAAATCTGTATGAGTTATTTTTGCTTAAATTGAGTGAATTTTGTCTTGAATTGAGGAGATAAGTGAGACAATTTACATTTAAAATAAGAAAAAAACAATTGCTTTGTCTTATTTCAAGTGAATATTATCTAATTGTCTTATTTTAGGAGTAGAAATACTCATTCCATTGGCAAATCGTCTTATTTACCTACTAAAATTAAGGGTAAATGCACTTATTTAAAGAAATGTTGCACTTATTTCTAGATGGTTTTTGCAGTGAATTTACGTTTAAAATAAGAAAACACACATGCATTGTCTCATTTCAAGTGCATTTTATCTAATTATCTTATTTTAAGAGTAAAAATAAGATAATTGGCAAACCACCTTTATCTACTCAAATTAAGGGTAAATACACTCAATTTAAGAAATTTTTACTTACTTTTAGATCATTTTTCCAGTGCATGCATAATAATTACTTACACAAGCACGTAATCATATAAAATTTTAATAACAAATTTGTTGAGAAGCATTGATATGTTATTGCTTGTCTGTCGTCATCATCAGATACGCTCAGAGCAATCTGGGAAAATATGATTGTAGTGTGTTTATCTGTATTCTAGTTGTGTTGTTCTTTAGATTATGCACTATACAGGTAAAAAGGATTAGTAGATCAGTATTTTTATTTTTTGCACATTTTCCCTTTTGGCAGAATTAGGACTTGATTCAGATTACTTTTGAATGTTGCAGACATTTGTTTAGTGATAAAGGTCGCAATTAAAACCCTGAAGTTTTCCTCCTGATCAGCGTATTGATAAATGTATCCAGATTTCTGAGTGCAGCTAGATACAGGTGCTGGTCATAAAATTAGAATATCATGAAAAAGTAGATTGATTTCAGTAATTCCATTTAAAAAGTGAAACTTGTATATTATATTCATACATTACATACAAACTCATATATTTCAGATGTTTATTTTGTTTAATTTTGATGATTACAAATGACAACAAATGAAAATCTCAAATTCATCATATCAGAAAATTAGAATATTGTGAAAAGGTTCAAAATTGATGGCCCCTGGTGCCACACTCTAATCAGCTAATTAACTCAAACCACCTGCAAAAGCCTTTAAATGGTCTTTCAGTCTAGTTCTATAGGCTACACAATCATGGGGAAGACTGCTGACTTGACAGTTGTCCAAAAGACGACCATCGACACCTTGCACAAGGAGGGCAAGACACAAAAGGTCATCGCTAAAGAGGCTGGCTGTTCACAGAGCTCAGTGTCCAAGCACATTAATAGAGAGGCGAAGGGAAGGAAAAGATGTGGTCGAAAAAAGTGTACAAGCAAGAGAGATAACCGCACCCTGGAGAGGATTGTGAAACAAAACCCATTCAAAAATGTGGGGGAGATTCACAAAGAGTGGACTGCAGCTGGAGTGAGTGCTTCAAGAACCACCACACACAGACGTATGAAAGACATGGGTTTCTGCTGTCGCATTCCTTGTGTCAAGCCACTCTTGAACCACAGACAGCGTCAGAAGCGTCTTGCCTGGGCTAAAGAGAAACAGGACTGGACTGCTGGTGAGTGGTCCAAAGTCATGTTCTCTGATGAAAGTAAATTTTGCATTTCCTTTGGAAATCAAGGTCCCAGAGTCTGGAGGAAAAGAAGAGAGGCACTTCATCCACGTTGCTTGAAGTCCAGTGTAAAGTTTCCACAGTCAGTGATGGTTTGGGGTGCCATGTCATCTGCTGGTGTTGGTCCATTGTGTTTTCTGAGGTCCAGGGTCAACGCAGCCACATACCAGGAAGTTTTAGAGCACTTCATGCTTCCTGCAGCTGACCAACTTTTTGGAGATGCAGATTTCATTTTCCAACAGGACTTGGCACCTGCACACAGTGCCAAAGCTACCAGTACCTGGTTGAAGGACCATGGTATCCCTGTTCTTAATTGGCCAGCAAACTCTCCTGACCTTAACCCCATAGAAAATCTATGGGGTATTGTGAAGAAGAAGATGCAATACACCAGACCCAACAATTCAGAAGAGCTAAAAGCCACTATTAGAGCAACCTGGGCTATCATAACACCTGAGCAGTGCCACAGACTGATCGACTCCATGCCACGCCGCATTGCTGCAGTAATACAGGCCAAAGGAGGCCCAACTAAATACTGAGTGCTGTACATGCTCATACTTTTCATGTTCATACTTTTCAGTTGGCCAACATTTCTATAAATCCTTTGTTTTTATTGGTCTTCAGTAATATTCTAATTTTCTGATATGATGAATTTGAGATTTTCATTTGTTGTCATTTGTAATCATCAAAATTAAACAAAATAAACATCTGAAATATATGAGTTTGTATGTAATGTATGAATATAATATACAAGTTTTACTTTTTAAATGGAATTACTGAAATCAATCTACTTTTTCATGATATTCTAATTTTATGACCAGCACCTGTAAACTTAGCTCTAATAGCCTGGTAGCATTTGGTGTTAGAAACTAGCTACATATTTTTATGTTAAACCTCTGCAAAAAAAAACATTATATATATCTTACATGATTTTTGGATTTTTAAAGCTGATATGAAAAGGAAATAATTATCGACACGATGCTTGAAAAGCAGTATTTCAGTGAGAAACTGCTTCCTCGTCCTCCTTTCCTCACCTTGTTTTTTTGTTGTTGTCTGATCAGCACTGACACACACCGCCGTCAGCAGGATTTCAGGTTATATTCATAAATATAAAGATGCATGTGTTGACTTTGTAGAGTGAGACCTAGAAACGACAAAATGAGGTGACACTGTGCTGACACATCACAATGCCGCGTTCCCATTATTATAATGTCTGCATAATGTCGGCTTACAATCACAGCAACTGATGGTTCACTTTGCTCTGTCAAATAAAATAAAATGTTTCTTTTTCGACGTGCTCATCTAGCAACCATCTGAGTTCCTCTTATAGCAAATCTCTTTCTCCTGTTAGACTTCCTCAGAGAGGATACTCCAGTGGGAACTAGCTTTTTACGGGCGGCAGCACACGACGATGACCAGGGGAGCAACTCGGCTATTACTTACTCGCTGTCCGAGCAGAAACCAGCCTACCTTCACATCAACCCCAACACTGGCTGGATTTATGTCAACCACCCCATCTCACAGGTCAGACACACAGCAGGAGTCCTCCAGTTCATCATTACTCTACTTTCATAACAGGTTTGCCTTTAATCACATCAACACAGCAACATTCTCAGGATATCAATTCAATTTAGTTTATTTCTATAGTGCCAATTCACAACACATGTCATCTCAAGGCACTATGCAGTTCACCAGATCATCCAGTCAAGTTTTCTATCTAAGGAAAACCAGTTCATTGCATCGACTCATTGACTCACTCATTGACTCCTTCACTCTAATCATCTTGTAGCGACAGTGGAGAGGAAAAACTCCCTTTTAACAGGAAGAAACCTCCAGCAGAACCAGACTCAGTGTGAGCGGCCATCTGCCGAGACCGACTAGGGTTCAAGGAGACAGAAGCAGACATACAAAAGGCAGCTGTAAAAGGAGCCAGAAAACACACAGCCAGGAAGACAATCTCTGAGCCAACTGCCATGTCAGAGGATAAAGAGAGCACATCCAGCCAGTCACAGTCAGAGATACAGGACTACACTGGAAAAACAGGCCGATCTCCATTATCTATCAACATAGGTGTTGATGGCCCTAACCCTAACCCATTTTGAAGAAATCTCTAAAAAATTTCATCAGCACTTTATATTCTTACTACACGCTTATCGAATCTCCCCTGTGGCTCCTGATAGGCTAAATAAAGATTAAGCATAATAATAATAATTTACCTAGAGAAATTTACCTCTGCATTTAACCCATCCCCTTGGAGAGCAGTGGGCTGCCATTGTGCGGCACCTGAGGAGCAATCAGAGGTTAAGGGTCTTGCTCAGGAACCCAGAGTGGAGGCTATGGGGATCTAACCGAGTACTTCACTGGAAAAACAATCTCGAAACAAGTACAAATTTCTTAAATTAAGTGTATTTACCCTTAATTAAAGTAGGTAAATGAGTTAGTTTGCCAATGGAATGACTATTTTTCCTCTTAAAATAAGATAATTGGATAATATGCACCTAAAATAAGACAATACAATTGTGTTTTCTTATATTAAGTGTAAATTGTATTGTTCCATTGGTAAGAGGACTCTTTTATCTCCTCAATCCAACAATAAATGCACTTATTTTAAGAAATAATGACTTATTTAGATTTAGAGTTTTTCCAGTGTTGCAACCTTCTCAGAGCACAAGCGCAATGCTTTTACCACTAGGCCAACATTCCCCAACAAAAGAATCTTCTCAAAAACATCTTATATGCTTCTCCTAAAGCTCCCTATAAAATTATTATTATATTATTTTTTTTATTTAACTCAGTATCTTTTTTGTTGTATCTCCCTGCAGACGTCCAGGATCAACCAGCAGATCTTGGCGTCAGACGGAGGAGACCGCAGCAGCTCTGTGGAGCTGACAGTCATCATCACCAACGTTCACAACCAGCCGCCCCACTGGGAGCAGCCTGAATACTGGGTCACTGTGCCGGAAAACACCGTCCGAGATGCCAAGATAGTGGTGAGTCAGTGATCACAAAGCAGATCAACTGCTATAATCATCCCTACTGCTTTTTATCATCACTAGACATGATTTAGTTACCATCTGCAGGAAAACACATGGGCCCTCATATATCAGGGCTGAGCTGTGCGGTAATTAGTTCTGCAGTCATCAGGATTTATCTACGGATGCGTCCCCAAGTACTGTCATGAGTACTAATTGATGCCGTGATACCTCTTGTATTTAATTAAAAGGTGTTTTTGGTCTCAATATACTAAGAGTGTAATTATGTGCTACATTCTGTATGTAGAATTAAAACTTTAATGGATCAAATTATTATTAAAATGTTACATTTACTACAGTTTTTTTCTTTTTCCTCTCACTTAAAGATTCTATATGATTTATTAAAAGAATTCCAAGGTCAAGTACTGTCATATATGTGATGAAATATTACCCTTGGCACTTTGTTATGAAATATTAGTTGTATGTCCAGAGAAGGGACATATTTAGGCTGAGGTGGATAATCCAGGTCCAGCAAGGCACTAATCACCTTGTTTAATGAACAGGATAAAGGAAATCAAGGCATAATCCAGGCAAATCTGGACCTGGATTATCCACTTATGTGGTTAAGACACTTGCCTTTACTTGGACGTCAGCTCTCCCTGAGTGGATGAAGTCCATTTTCTTGACGTCGCTTTTTCAACACGAAATCTGAGGCATCTCATGGTTGAAAAACACATTTTGTGGTTTAGACATTAGATGAAAAACAAACAGTTGCTGTCACTGTGCAGATTAGCAGCTAAAAAAGCCACTTGACCTCATTTTGAGCACAAATGATGGCGCTCTACCTCACATTGATTTTCTCTAATCATCAACATCATTGGCTTACTTTTATTTACAAGGCCATCCTGGGTAAACTCCCTCCATACCTGTCACCTCATGTCTGTAGCCAACAGTGGTTACAACTCACGCTCTTCAAGTCGTGTTCTTTTCACTATTCCCAGGATCAACACAGATCTTGGCTAAACATCATTTTTCTATGCAGCACCATGGTCGTGGCACAATATTCAAAACTCCCTGCAATTACGGACTCTTATTCCGCTACAGCATTTTAAATCACTATTGAAAACCGCTTGCACAGAGAATTGTAACTGTTATTCTAGAGTCTAGTTTATGATTGATTTTATTATGTTGTTTTTATGTGTTTTTATATGTCTTATTGTACTGCTGCCTCTTGGCCAGGTCTCCCTCGAAAAAGATTTTATCTCAAGGGACTTCCTGTAAAATAAAGGTTAAATAAATAAATCAGAGAAAGTGGGCATGTTATCTTGTAGGCAGGCACAGAGTAGTCAAGGCAGGTGCTTCCTGGAGGAGCAGGACAATGACAGCAATACGTAGAACTGTGATTAGCAGATGTTTTCCAGGACAGAGAGGAACTGTTGCTCAGAGAGCAGGATTTCTTAGGAATACTTAGACCATTGGCGTCGGCTGACTCTTTTCACAGGGGCACATGCCCCGTTGGACAGGGTTAGGGTAATGGATCTGTGGTGCCTGGGTATGCCTTGGGCACAAATTTTTTTTATTAATTAATTTTCCACTTTCACAGCTCCGCTCTCACAGCTCTGCACTGACTGCGGAGTTGTGAGAGGAAATTAAGCTAGTCACAATTGATCGACAGCTTTGCAAATATGAAGCCTAGACGCTACTACTTACAGTTAAAAAAAAGAACATCCAGCTCTACCATCCTTACGGCTATGATATACACACCATCACACCATCATAGGATGGGCCCAAATAGAAATGATAAACACAGACATGTATGTATGTAGAGTGTTTTTTTGTCTTCCTTTTACAGTTGCACATTTCAAGTTTATTTATGACGCTTTATAATAATAAATAAGTGTTATAAAATATTTGCTCGCATGCTTGCTTTAATTATCTGTACCCATGCTTTTTTTGAATAAATAATTGCCCAAAAAAATTTTTTCTGCCCTATTGTGCCCTTGTATAGTATTGAGTCAGCTGACGCCCCTGACTCAGACATTTGTTTATGAAGCAAAATACCACGTTTTGCACCATGTTAATGGAGGAAAATTAATGCAACAAAGGTGAAAGTGAGCAAGAAACCTTTGAGCATTTTAAATCCAAGGATATCAGCTCTGTTATAAACGAGTTCGGAAATCTTTACTGTATGTCGATCATTTTCACGGAATACAGAACAAAAATATAGCATCTGAATTTAGGGTCACCTGAATAGAGATATAACAAAATCTAGAAGGAAGGTTTACTCTAAGAAACCAAAGGTTTTCTGCTGTTCTCCTGTATAAAACTATGCACGGTCCAGCAGTTTGTAATAGGGGTGGAACGGTTCACAAAATCCACGGTTCGGTTCGGTTCACGGTTTCTTGGTCACGGTTTTCGGTTTGGTTCGGTATATGTTGATTGTTACCCCGAAATCCCATAAGAATTAATTAAATTAATGAAAAAATCCAAAAAAATTAATGAATTATAATTATTTTTAATGATCCGCCGAAACCATGGTTCATTTCCACATGTTTTGCTACTTTGAATTTAATCATCTGGCGCATGCCCTCTACGATCTCCAAGGAACTCAGAGCGGAGCGGACGGGAGCCACAGTGGAGGCTGTAGGCTTTGCTTTGCGCAATCGGTCTGGAGCGCAGCGGGGCGGAGCGCTGATGGAGTATGTGGGATCTCGGGGTTAGCCTGACATGTTGGTCGTGTTGCTGTTAGCATAAACAAAACGTGTTGCACACTGTTGCACTTTTATCCACAACTTTCTTTCCGCCGTCATCGTAGGTCACTCTAAATGCAAAGTGGTCCCATACAGCAGACCTATAAAGTGCTGCTGGCGCGTCTTCCAACTCCTGTTCTTTCCCACTCGCCATACCCACACAATACTCCACAACAACCGATTTTTTTCTGCTACACCCGGCTACGCTGCTTCGTTTCTTCTTCTTGTTTACTACTGGTGGTCAGTGTTGCCAACTCCTCAGCAAGGAAAGTAGCTATTGGCTGTGCTAAAAGTCGCTAAATGACATCATTGACTAATTTGCATAATCTGCCACAGGAAGGGATGTGCATGTTATTGATGCTGTGGGAGAAATAATGTCGTTACAGAAAGACAAAAAGTGAGTAAAAACACTATATAATAGTGTTTTTACTCACTCCTGCGGGAGCGGGAGAACGGGGTTGGGATCGGGGAGGCGCCCCACGGCAGCAGCTGCCGCTGGAGGATAAGAGAAGAAACGACACATGCTTTCACGTAAGAGTCTCCAAAAGCCGCCAGTGACACCGTAAAAAGTCGGCAGATTTGTCGCTAGTCGCTTTTTTGAAAAATCGTCGCTGCAGGGGTCTGAAAAGTCGATAAATATAGCGACAAAGTTGCTGAGTTGGCAACACTGCTGGTAGTTGGCTTTGGTCGCAGTACCGCCACCTTCTGCTCTGGAGTGTAATCGCTTCGACTATGGAGAAAAAGGAGCAGCGCATGAACCGAACGCAACACACGCGAACCGAACCGAGACAGTCGAACCGAACGGTTCAGACGGTTTTCATAAACCGTTCCATCCCTAGTTTGTATTGTAAGCCTTTGATGCAGCATCTGGAAGTTTCTCCTTTCTGCATACAGTTGGGCATATCTTTTAATTTTTCCGGTTTAAAAACTGCTGTCCCTGCTTTATGATTTTACTAAACCTACCACTTCATTACTGGGGTGTTGTTGTTTCCAGTCATGTTCACTTTGTTGTAAAACCTTTAGAAACTGTTTGAAATGTTTAATGGCAGGTAGTTTCTCAGATGGACATGTTGTAGAGTCGCTACCTAGCTTAAATTTCCTGAACTGTTTGTGGAAGCAGCTGCAGCTTAGCTGATCGATTTTATCCACCTGGGGCCATGAAACTGATTGGATCAACTGGATTCAATTATCTGGAGAGGTGACCCAATTCGTTTGGCGGTATAGTGAGTGTTATTTTGTGAAGTTGAACTTTATAGGAGCAGTGTTTGCATCTGAACCTTTGAGGCCAAACTTTGCTTGTGAGATAAAAAACTAAGCTGACGCTAAATCAAAAAGGAATACTGTGTGATAATTTAATGAATATTCTGATTCTTTCTGGGCTTTTTTTGCATTTTACTTTTTTTTTTTTTCAAATCAAAAGTAGTTTTTAACATCCAGCATATGTCTTCAAAGCTTCCAGGTTCAAAAACATCATCTTAAAAAAAATGATTAATGTTGGAAGTTTTGGCAGGCATCCCAGGGTTTTTTTTTTATTTTTTATTTCTCCTTTGTTAATATTTACTGACTTCTTCAAAAGGATTAAACTATCCCAGTTTCCCCCCAAATGTTGCTGATCAGGAAATTAACGCTTGTGCTGAGTGGAGTTCTAAAACGGCATGCTTTGCGGGGAGACGTGTAAAAAGACAGAGATGTTTAAAGCCAGTTCTTCTCCTGCAGCAGCAAAGCAGCTCTTTTTTCATGCCTTTGCAGAGAGCCCCGAGGAGGCTGGAAACACTCTTTCTTCCTCTTCATCCTGCTCTCCTCCCTCCTCTTCCCCTCATCCCTCCCTCCTCTCTGTGTCAGCACGTTTAGCAGAGCTCCACCAAACATTTTTTTTTTTTGCCGAGTAAACAACAAACCCAGTCTGTCTCACCTGACTCACAGCACACACACACATATGGCTTGTAGACCTCAAGGGTTTCTTTTTTTTCTTCTCCTTTTCCTCGTTTGATCCCTCCATCCTAATTTGCTCTCCCTCTTTTACTAAGCCTTTGCCTTAGAAGGTGGAGGAGTTTTCACCCTCCAGCTGCTCGATTTCATGGAGGTTAGTCAGTTTTCAAACAGTCTTTGGGCGCGTATCAGTGTGTGATTAACTGTGTGTGTGTTTCTCTGCTACTTTTAGAGCATTTTCAGTGATGAAAAAAATGCTGCTTGTGATTGGAGGTTGGTTCCACCCGCCTCGCTCCGTATGTCAGAGATGATTGAGGAGAAGGAGAAAATTACACCTGT